TGGTGACTTTTGGGACACCTGTATTGGATCCTATAAAAATAGAGTTACAGAGTATTGAAGTCTGAGATAAATATAGAAGATAATTGCTTTTTGCATTGAATGGAATTTGGCCACCTGTAGTACCTCTTTGATGTATTTGCTTTTCTTAAATTACTATATTTCTTATTCACGTAACTTATACTGTATAATTTTTTGCAAAATAAATCTTGATTTTTATACAAGATGTATTAATTTCACTATGAAAATTTAATTTCAGATAGAGGATAACTAACTTGCAATCAATTGGAGCTCTTTATTTTTCTGTTTTATTACCTAGAGAAAATTACTCTTGAAGTTCTTTCCTTCTTACGTCAATTAAAAAAAAATACTTCAGACTTACGAATTATGTACCCATAAAACATCCTTGTGAAGATCATAATGACTGTTCACAAAGCTCATTTCATTTAGGTAGTTTTATCTTTACAGTGACCCTGTAACTATTTTTAGTAACTTCTTTTACTAATAAAGAAACCCTAGTGTTTTTCATTAAGACTTGAATGTGCTTCTTAGTTGAGACCTCTTGTGATATCTGTTGTGCTCTGCATCCACTGTTAGAAAAGGAAGCCAGTGAAGACGTATTATTACATCCCTACTTTCCTTTCAAAGTTTGGCACATTGAAATTTAATTTTCAACTTCACAGAGAAAGTAAAATCTTTTCGAGCCTGTCAAGACTTAGGATGTATTTCTTTTCATTATAATGGAATTCTAATAAAGTGAACAAAATAGTACAGTTTCTTATAGAGCTTATACCCACAGAAATTAGCCTTAGTTCAATTTTAACACCGTCTCAAACAAAGCTCAATGCTTCCTTCCCTTCCCACCCCAGTCTGCCTCATCCCCAGCTGTATTTCATAAATACCCTAGAATATTCTAAGAGAGTCGTCAAGGAAAATATGTTGTTTATATATCACTTTCAGGATATATTTTAGAGCATTATGAGGATTTGGATTTATGACTTTTAAAATAATGTGTATCACACACTAGGAAAATTTTCATAATATTTTTTGCTTTGTAACTAAGAAATCTAAGGATGAATAACTTGCATATATTTGGTAAAGGTT